CTGCTTTGATAATATAAAACATATCGTTCACCTAGTACACCTTTTATATGTATGCAATAGCACATGCTCGATGTGAAAACACAATAAAAATTATAAAATAAACATGATACAAAATATAACAGTGTTTTTTGTTATAATAATAAACAATAATATTAATTATTAATACAATATATTAATTATAATAATTATCTTATGTTTTTTACTTTTTTGAATAACAACAGGCATTTTATATTTTATATTATTCTGTAGAATATTTTTACTGTTTAAAATGTTAATAATTAATAATCGTAGTTCGAACGAGTTTGCCTAGTTAATTAGTTATAACTTATAAATTATATTATAGGTAKGTGTTTAATGTTAACATGGGTAAATGTATTATGTACACAATACACTATACAACTATTACTATACAAGGTAATTCATCGAGCATGCTCACCCCCTTTTTTTCTTTAATAATAAAATTAATCAAAATCTGATTTTTAGAATGTGTAAATATACTCAAAGACCATATTTTTAAATTCTTGAGATTTGTGTATCGCTTAAAGAATGTCCTGTGGTGATACAAACTTTTGTTTTTCAAATGAGAACCCCTTTTTTACTGTAAATTATTTAGTAGATAATTTTGATGAATCGAAATTAAAATTCGAACGATTAGTTCCTAGTTATAAAAATGTTTGTACTATAAGGATATTAGTTCTTAAAAATTGTTTAACAATAGTATAAAATACACGCTCTTTTGGAACTAGTATTTAAGGTAGTTTTTACGAATTGTTTTTGTTGATAGAATACCAAGTTAAATAACTCAAAAACTGCTCATTATAATGTTGATATAATTACATCAAAATTCCCAAAAAGGCAAAAACATTATCCTCTAAATAATTTAGTTTTTGGATGAAAATTCAGAATCGATCGGTTTTTTGAAAGTTTAAAATTAAAAACTCCCAGTATTTTTCAAAATAATCGAAAATGCAGAAAAAAATAAGAAAATAATATACCTAGACATTTTTAAGCAAACCCAGTTTTTGACAAAATCGATTTTGAACTTTAAAACGATTAAGAAGGATTAACCTCTAGTATTTGAAACTAGTTGAAACTATCACCAAAGTTTTGTATTCCATACTAGCATTTTCTGTGTATGATAACATCTTTCAAATATTTTGATTCTTTATTTCGATGTACATTTATGCGTTTAAAATGAAATTGTCAATTATTAATATTCCTCTGTTATAAATATTAATTAAAAATACATACATTTTCGTTGATAAGCGTTTTATAATATTAACGATTTTATATTTGTTATTTATTTATTATTTAAAGTACTGAAAAAAATCAATACAAAATCATGCCAAGATATTTCATTAATATATTCAATTATAGTAATTGCTTTTCTGAGCTAGAAATAACATCATTATTAACACTAATTTAAAATTAAATATCCATTTAAATTTGTTTCTATAAGTGTAATTAAAAAAAATGACAAGGTTTAATGATCGTCTTCAGTGTTTGATGGTATTATATAATATTTTATTAAAAGTCAAGACAACATACCTAATAAAGTCTTAGTGTTTATTGTTTGCTGTGAAATATTATATCAAAATCATTTAAAAATGAACTACTACATAATTATTGCACTCCGAGTCAAGCCGACAACATACGTATTATAACGTTAACTAAATATTTTATATCTTATAATATATCAATGTGTTTTATTTGAGCMCACAAGTAATAATGTGTATACTGTATAGTAAATTTATTATTTAATTTTTTTCTTTAATATTCGAGTGTATATGTAATACACAAAAATAATAATACGTATTTTAGGTATATTGTTCAAAATCATTTTTTTAGAGCGTAATTACCTAACTAATATATTATCTAAATCAATATTTGTTTTATAGCTTTGAACGGTTTTTACCTTCTATACTTTTAGTTATGTAATTAGAGTACACTAAATTTGACTTGAAGTTAAGTATTCTGAGAATTTTAGTTATATACCTATGTACAATATTTTTTTTTTTTGATAAATAATATTAAAGGGTTATATCAACAATTTTTATAAGATATACAGCTGGGCGGTGGTAAACTCTCCCGATTTTTAAAACTAGTAAACTCTCCCGATGGTAAACTCTCCCGAGTTATTTTAAATGTTATTGCTACTCTATGAATTGGCTACACTGCAGAGATTGTGATTATAATTTTTATTATGAATTGTATTACCGYATTTAATCTGTATTTATCTTGTGTTAACCTGTATTTGTCATTTAAATATTTAATTACCGTTAGAGTCTTTTTAAGTTAAATATTTAAAACGATATCGACTATAATGGCTCAACCAATATTCTAACTGTGTAATACGAATAATAACCCACGCTCCCCAGCTAGCTTAATACTACTGAAGTAGATCCGGGAGAGTTTACATGTTCGATCCCGTCAGGTAGTATTGGACTAAATCCTGGAGAGTTAACCATCGGGAGAGTTTACATGCCATTAAAATCAGGAGAGTTTACAATCGCCCATACAGCTAAACCTCAAATATATATTTTTTATAATATAAGCGGTACTCACGATTAACTATATTCATCCCCGCTATGATGCAGTGGGTCATTTTATGGTGAGTTAGTTATACTCACTGTAATTAATAGTATACCTGTAGTAGGTTGATGTGGTATTTTAGCCAATAAACGTGTTTATAGTTTATGTACAATATAATAATTTTAATTATGTTACATAATATAGATATTTAAAAAAATCCTCTCAAATACGAATATTAATCCTACCCACTATCAATTTAATATAAAATATTTAAATTTGAAGAATCACCAATAAAATATTGTTTGGATTATGCCAAAGTTATATTATTACTAGGACTCGGAAATTATAGGAGCCAAAAAAGGTAAAATATGCATGAAAAATGTGAAATATGCAAAAAATTATTTATTTATTTCTTAAAAGTTTATTACTTATTTATTAATATACACACAAAAAAAAA